TTTGTCTCGCCTTCTGATATAAATCGCAGTGAAGCTGTTTTTTGATTTAACAAATTAATAACGAGGCCCGGTAGCCGTCTTATTGATGATGCCACATCACAAGGCATACATAACCATATTCGTATTCATCGCTAGCTATATATGTATATACGTATATGTGTCGCGTTCCTGGAAATCGCGGCTGACAAATGACAGGCCCTGGATTCTCGGCAGCCAAGACTTCCGGCCCAGTTCGCCAGAAGCAGCGAGCGGCGAGCTTTAAAGGAGCACAACTGGCAGTCGCCATCTTGGCCAGATTGATGCGGCAGCAACACGGCAACGGCAACGGCAACATTGCAACATCAGGCGACATTGATAGTGATTGAAGGACAGCTGTTCACACTAGGCAAACTAGCCGCAGTCCGGCGAACGTCAAATTAGAATGCGAAACGTGTTGCCAATGGGAATGCTGCTGCTGCAGCTGCTGCAGTTGCTGCTGCAGCGGACAATGCACATTGTGGCGGCACCTTTGGCTCTGCGGCATGCAAAGCAGCCAAGAGCAACAGTCACAGCAACATCCACAGCAACAGCAAGAACTGTTGCTGCAGTGCAAATTAATTGAAGCATCGCGAGGCAATGTCAACGACAGCAACATCACGTGTTGCATGTGGCATTTTGGCGTAGGCTGGTCTCTGCCGTTCTCCTCCTCCTCCCCCAGCACATTCTTATAATTATGTCATTTAATTAAGCAAAGACAGCTCGCTGTGCCACGACTAATTAAAACATCGCGCCAGCAGCAACAGTTGTTGCAGCAGCAGCAGCAGCGAAAGCACAGCAGCAACATGTGCGGTGGAATGAATGACCGGCCACTGTCAATGCAACGAGCAATATGTATAACACAAAACAGCAATTCAACTTTGCCGCTCAATGGATCGTACGATGTACCACTTGTACTGGGTACTGGGTACTGCTACTGCTACTGCTACTGGTTGCAATGGGCAAAGGAATGCTTCCAGGAATTTGGGTCATAATTAATGTGGCATGATTTGGCAAGACACTTTAATCAAGGCGAATTAAATGTGGAAATGTTGAGATGAAGGGCTTGTGTGAGCCACCCAAAAAGTGCACATCAATCATACGCAGCGGTGGCCCAGCTGTTCAATTGCAATACCATAACTCACTTTTATAGGCCATCCACTCGCACACAATTCGCTGAAAACCTGCGCACCGGGATTAAGATTTGCCGCCAAGATTCTGTCCAGGCACGCTATATCGCTATATCGCTATATGCCTTGGCTATATGCGCTATATAAGCCATAAGCCTGCTGCTTGCAGTCGGTAAATTACAACAACTATTACAGCCCAGCCCCACCAAAGCCATAGCCAAGCCAAAGACATGGCAATTTCTTGGAAAACTGTGTTTTGTGCGCTTTCGGGCCTGGCCACATGAAAATTTATGAGTGGACAGCGCTTCAAGTGCAACACCTGGTAGCCAGCCAGCCAGGCTAGTTTGGAGTGGAGTTTTTCAACTGAACTGCAGAATGGAGAGGAATGAAAAGGAAAGGAACCAAAGTCGCACTCAATGGGCCCGCATCGCATTTGATATCCTTTGTAGCGGCAGCCCACTGTGCGTGACATTTGCGTTAAGTGGCTGTGGGAACTTTCGGGCTGACGTTGAACCAGAATCCCGAATCTGAATCTGGAGCTGAGTCCGTGACCAAAGCTAAAGCTAAAGCTTAAGCTAAAAATTATGAACAGAAGCCGAAACAAACGGGCGGCCAGCAAAAAGTTTTCATTTGCCCGATTTTGGCCGGCCGATAAGCCAAAAAAGTTGCCAACAACAAATGAAAATGCACGACACACACAAATATTGTCAAAAACTTGGACAGCAGATATCGCTATCTCTATCGGGGCATCTATACACCTCTCCCTCTCACACTTGGTGCGAGTGCAATGGCTATATGTATTACTCGGCCAGTTCGAATTGCAGGCAAAAATATTCAAACGCTCAACTCGGCGGGGGTAATTAAAAATAAATTTTATGCTCAAGCTTTAACAGCCGTCGGATTTACGAGACAAATAAGAGATAGCAAAAGTGACGCAACGAACTTGGGATGCTCTAATTTCGAGTAGTTATTTTAATGGCTTAATTGTGACCTCATAAAATCGGTGAAATATCTTCAAAATGAAAGTATTTACGTTTAGAATTAGGGAAATAGCTCGTCATTTATCCAAAACAGCAATATATTTCACAGCTGGTGTTTAAGCTCTTATCGAAAGCTGATTATCTTAATGGTTGCTCACAGTATTAAATATTTAAATTATATAGCAAATTCCTTCTTTATTTGCAACACTCAAAAACCCCTTTGGCCGCCAAGTGTATAATCATGGCTAAGACAAATAGTGAAATACCAAAAGAAAAAAAAAACAAAAAAGAGCTACCAAAACAAGAGTTTGTGTGTGTGTACGAGTGTATTTTTCATCGCAAATGTTTGTGAAAAAAAGCGAGTCAAGACGAAAAAATGTAGAAAATATAAAACAAAAGCCCAGATAAACACAAAACCACATACACACACTGGAGTCACAAGACAAAAGTTATTGCCAAAATTTTCGGCATGTTTGCTTTTGAAATTTAAATTTCACATTTGTTGTCGTTGGTTTTTATGGCCTGTGCTATCATAAAAATTTCCGACTCTCGAGCATGTGAGCTCTTAAGTGTGTGTGTGTGTTGTTTTGGGCCATTAAAACTGCATTGGCCTCTGCGTTTAAGCCAAAAAACTAATACACCGCCCTAGTTGCTTAATTTGCCACTAATGACAGCCAGTAAAGTTCCAGCCCCTCATAATTGACAACTAAATTGGCCGACTGACAAGGGGGCTTTTGCTACGGCCCCCCTTTCTTTGGCCGCCCCTGAGATGTGACATATGCAGACTAATGAATTTTAAAATCAACGCTCGCCACAGGTGCCCGTTCGTTATGGATGCGAACATGCCACTCCACTCCCCAGACAAACTGTCTGTCAAGCGATTTGAATCCCCAATCCGTAGTCCGCAGTCCGCAATCCGCAATCCACAATCCGCAATCCCACAATCCCACAGATGCGGAGTGCATGAATGAATTACAGCGGCAACTGGGGGATCGCTGGATGGATCAAATCAAGCATCAATAAAGTCGGCATATGAATAACATGAATTAAACATAAATGCAAAGGATCGCCTCGCATCGCATCGCATCGCATTGGATCGGTTTTCGGTTGGGATCGAATGATCGTTCAGCTCCTTCAGCCGATCTGATTGATCACTTTGCAGTTGCACAGCCTCACTTAGCCAGACAGACATTCCAGGGGCACTACTACCGACTGCACACGGGATTTTAAATTAAAATTTTGCACACTCCAAGAGCAGGAAATAAATTCAGCGACCATGCCGCATTGATGCATGTCACGTTTGGGTGTTCGCTGCGTTTACGTGGAACTGTCAAAATGCAAAGCGCAATAAAACCGAAATAAAACCAAAAATAAAAAGAGACCAAGTATGTATAAACCAAAGCCAAAAAGCTGCAACAACAATGGGCTTGGGCCAGGCTAAGTGGCAAGTGAAAATGGTTTGGGGCATCAACTGTCAAAAGTGACAGCACAGTCACAGTCGTCGTCGCAGCCCAGAAAACTGAAAACTGAACTCTGAACACTGAACACTGAACACTGAAAACAGAAAGCAGAGCCAACGGTGGCTCAAATTGAAAATTAACTTAGCGGAACTGAATTTTTTTTGGAGGCGTGTGAACTTCTCACACACACAGACACCTGAGCTCTGGTAAAAAATAAAAATAATGTCGTCTTCTTAGTTTTTTCTTCGGGGCCTAATGAGCACAGATCATTTTCTTTTGGGCCGAGGAACAAATTTCAGGCAATTAGGAGAAAACTTAGAGTTTATATTCTCAGTTGCCGGGCAGAAACTTAAAATGGTACAGCTTAATAGAGTTATAAAAGAGTGCGGGAAAAAGAATACCAATTTGTAAAACTTTCGTTTTGTTATCTTTAATTTGAAGAACTGCGGCAAGGCACATAAATGAGGAATACTATTTAATATTGGTCTGCGATCTATGTTCTAATGCCTCCCATCGCATTTCTATTGTTCCCTACGCCTACTACCAATTGTTTCAGTCCTTATCTGGCCGCCCAATTTCATGTTCCAAAGATACAATCTACTGGCAGGACAGCGGCGATTTCCATCGAGCCATTTCGATGGCGGCCACAGGAAACGCTCACTCAGCAACACAAAAAAGGCGCGAAGCAATCGATTTGTGGGTGGTAGTGGTGGGTGGTGAGTGGTGGGTGGTAATGCACGCCCACGCACTCCGTAAATACCAACCAGAGCGGCAAACCCCCGCCAAAATACATTCATTAAAAACGCATTAGAAATCACATTAGAACAAATGTTCAAGGGGTAACGAAACCGAAAAAATGGAAGAAATTACTTAAACACAGCATAAATCGAAATGGTGGTTTGCGGTCTGCGGCACTTTTTCCCCACCAATTGTTGAAATAAATATACGAGTATTTAGAAAACTTTCATTGATTTCCCAGCAGTTCAGTTGGGTTCTGCTTAAATATTCAACATCAAGTGTGAGTTAGGTAGAAACCATTTTATGTAAGACATTACTTTTAATGGCGAAGTTTCGCAAGAAAGTATTTATAAGTAGAAGACTGAATGCTTAAATAGCTGATATCTGATTGTTAAAGTATCTTATAACACGTATTTGCAGCTCGAGGTGCAAACAATTCATAAACCAACTTTTAAGTGGCAGTACAGCAGTAAGGTCTCACTTTCCCAGTTTGGAGTGGCAACGGATGTGTGGTATAAATCTTACAGTGCAATCAGCTCATTTCAACTGGCATTCCAACATCGATGTTCGAAATGCTCCATTAACAGAACCCAACTGAACCGTTTAGTTGCCCCAATGATGTTCCCATCCAAAAGCCTGTCAACTACGAGTATAGTATGTTTGTAAGGGACACTTACTGTGCTGGTGGTAGCTGGGATAGTAGCGCCGGTGGTGTCCGTTGCTCTCCAGCGCGTAGAAGGCGCTCATGTCGCTGGTGTCCAGTCCGGATCCGCCGCCGCCGCCGAGGGCGGCTCCCACGCCCACGCTGCTGCCCGCCGAGCTGGCGCCGCTGGAGAGGCTGTGGTGGCTGTGGGCCAGGCTGCTCCCGGCGCTGCCAAGGCCGTTCGTTTGGGGCGATACGCCGCCCCCATTGCCGCCGCCCGACGAGCCGCCGCCGCCGCCTAAGCGCGGACTATCGTACCAGCTGCGAGCGGCAGCCTCCGCTGTTGAGGTCATATCCATTTCGAGTATAATCTTGAATGTTTTTCTGTTCTACCGAGGGGGGGAAGGAATCGGGCGGGCGGTTCTATGTCCCTCTGCGGTCGGGTGCTCTTCGCTTTTAGTTTTTGGCTCGTTGTTTAGTGATGGCTATGCATTTTTCATGTACAAAGGAAACACTCAACTCAACAACTCAATCGCTCTCTATCTATCTGTGAAAGTCAAGAAAATGTTGAACAACTTTAGCAACTGAAGTTGGGTGTCTGCTGTTGATAAGATTTTAACGGTAGCCGGCGTTATCACTCACTCTCCCTTATCGCGAGCTTTACATTTTTTGTTCAATTGTTTTTATGGCTTTATGGTTGCGGTACAGTTATACAGGATAACCACGAGTTGATTTACGATCGGACTTTTGGCTTCCACCTTCTGCGTAGTATAGTGTGGGAAACTATGCCAAAACATATGAACGCGCAACCGAATAGTATAGCATAGTATTTTCGCATTCATCGGATTGATTGATGACCAAGATCCCGCCCAGGGGACCTAATAAACATGTAGTGCCAACAATTGCATTGTCACAATGTTTACACACCGAGGAACAATAGATCCTGGGGATCTCGAATCTGCGGGCTGTCAAAAGACAGGCGCCCGAATAAGCAGGTGTCTTTGTATTCCCAGATCTTTTTTCAGACTTCTGTGTGTGGGCCCAATTAGACGCGATTTAGAGGTTTATCGAAGAGCTTCAATTGCTAACTGGCATCTGCCGTGGGTTTCTTGCAGACAGGCGAAAGAGTCATATCGCAGGAACAACGACAACACTTCTATATTGATTTAGACAGGTAGCCGAATATTTTGGGAATTTGGGAATTTTTGGCTTATCAGCAATAGATAGCACATATATGTTTGTATAGCGAGCTGTGTGCATTGCACTCGTTGATTTCTTTTCCAAGCGATTATTATCAACGGGAGTTCTGTATTTTTTGTTTTCTATTTGCCTTCATTGTTTGCTTTTGGCTTCGAGAAATTATTAATAATACAAGCCAGGTTGGACCCGTGTTTTTTTCGGTGGACTGTATCTTTAAGGTGCCCAGATGCCTATCGTTCAATTGACAATTGCGCTACGAAAAGAACGGCGATAAGGCAACATAATTTGTTACCTCCCGAAGGTGGAAGAAAAGCAAATAACCAGGGCCTTTTGACTTGAAAACTCAATCAATTTATCTATCTATCGGCAGCAGAAGCAGCGATAAGTGAAGTAAAAAAATACGACAAAAAATGAAAAAATTAAAAAATGAAAAAAATGAGAAGCAGACACTTTTCATTAAATGTCTTCTTGTATTTTTGTTTTCCTCCACCGCGCGCTTTTGTTGATAGCAATAAATTGATAAGCGCAAGTGCCAGATTTTTGGTATGCGTGTGTCAGCAAAATTGTTGATTATATTTATACGATTGCTTGCAAAGCCTGATCGCTCGATAAGGATAATGAGTTTTGCGCGCGGCTAGCGTTAAAAACTTTTGATTCTCATAGATCTCAATTTGTTTTTCAATGATCATTGATCGCACATTTTTTGATCTTACATTTTAAGCACACTGTTTTAATCACACTGCTTGTTTTTACTGGGTTTTTCTTTCAATGATTTGATTTGTTGTTAATTTTTGGTACACTTTGATCGCTTTCTGTGAATTTTTGCCGACGCGTTTTTCGAGCTTTCTTTGTTGTTGTCGCGGCGAGACGAGAATCGATAGCAAAATACGAACGAAACGAGCGGACGCACGCCGATAACACGCTTGCAAACACGTCAACAGTTGAAATCGAACTGAACGAACACGAGCGCAAAACAGGAAAGACTGGCGCTGCTTGCTCTCACACTACCAATACATGCGCACCGCACCGCAGAAACCCGTTTGCGTGAGGCCCAGCCTACGTGTATGCGTGTGTGTGTGTGGATGTGTGTGCAAGTGTGCGTGCGCTAGTGTGCTGGCACATACAAGATGGTCGCGCTGTCAAGCAGTGCTCGCTGCGAGTGAGAGGGAGGCAGCTATACAGCATAGCGTGGCCCAGCAATATGCCTGTCACACTTTCTCTCACCGAACGCGAGAGGGGCGTGTTTTTTTGTGTGTGCAGGGCAGGTAACCGGTTGTTGTTGTTGTGGCAGTTGCAGTCCGCTACTTTTGTTGTTCCTGTTTTTGTTTGCTCCGCTCGAGTGCATCGTTCAATAATCTCTCAGCGGCACGCCTCTCTGCACTTGACGCACACACATAGCCAGACAATCCAGCGTTTTGCTTGTCTGTTCGCTGCGCTCTCTGCTCCCTCCCATGCCCATCCCCCCTCTCGCTCTGGCTGCCACTCGCACTCGCACTCCCTATCCCCGTCCCTTTCCCACGCCCGCTGTCAAGCAGTGACAACAATCATCGATCGTTCCGTTTGCGATTATGTGCTTTATTTATGGGCCTTAACATGTGTGCAGATTTGTCTGGCGATTTTTGAGTTATATACGCCTGCTGCCTGCTGCCTACTGCCAGCCGCCTTGTGCGTGTGCGAGTGGGATGGCACTAGGACTAGAGCCAAATTTGCATAAATTAGCAGCTGGAAATTAAGAGAAGTACACGAACTATGCGAACTGCGAAAGATAGTTGGCTCGTATCTAGATGCAAATTATTAATATGGAGCTCATATATTTTCGCGGCAAGTTGGCTCCTTTGGGGCCGCGCTTGTATTGTACATCTGCTGCGCATAAACAGTTCACACAAACGCACTCACACACACCATCGAACAAGAAGGAAGTCTCAAATACGTGAGCCAGTTTTTGCCACAGTCCATAACTCGTACTTTCGTGTGTCGAGTTTTGGCCACTTGAATAATTTTAGTTTCTTTATTATCGTTCTGCCTACTACAGGTTTTGGCTATCTACCTTGTTTTCCAAAATATATAACTAAAATATGGCAATACTTTAATGACTATTTAGCACTTCTATTTGGTTTAAAATAGAAATAAGTTAAGGTCACAATGTTTTTAAATATTAATGAAGAGAGCCATATCAATCATTTTCATATTTCCTAAGCTGTTCTGACAATCTGATGTTAAATGCTTTTTAAGGTCATAAAGATTTTGAGCTAAGGACTTAATACAGTTTATTTCCCCCGCATTGATTTTCGCATTAAAGGGAATCACATTTGGCGCAAAGGGTTAAAAGTGGGGCTGCACCTGTGAACTGGCAAAAATGAAGCTGATTCGTGGGTTTTCAGCTGGGATGGGTTTGCAAAGAGTTCGAGAAAGACAGCTGGTAAGTTGAAAGTTTCCCAGGCCGACTTAATTCCACATGAATATTTTTGAATATATTTTTTTTGTGATCGCGCTGGGGCGAGAGGCATTTCATAAGTTCATATTGCTGCGATACGAATCTAAACAGATCTGGCCGAGCTTATGGCTAAAATAAACCGTTTGTCAAAGCCTCTGGGCTGACTACCTAAGCAGCAGTTTATGTATGTAAATACCTGCGGTCATAAGATAGCGCTGTTGATAGTTACAGATACATAATTTGAGATAAAGATACAAATCCAACCCGAAACCCAGAAGACAACGAGCGGCTGCCAAAATAAGAAAATAAGAAACCTGTAACCAAAATCAGATCAACCAACGGTGCGAACACCAAACACGAGCGACGAACCACAGAACAACCAACAAAAAAAATAACAAAAAGAAAACAACAACAAAAAAGCAAAATACAAAACCAAAACACAGAAAAGGAAAACAAACAAGAAACATTGGTGCTGGTGTCACCGACTGAACAACGCAAACAACAACGCAAGCAATCTGACTGGCAATCTATAGTGCAAAGGATACGGATACCGAAAACCATGGATAGGAAAATAAGCCGTCGCTTTCGGGAGATCTTCGATTAGATGGAATTGGCAGTGCATCTGGATCTGTATCCTCAGATTAAGCAAACACTTTCGATCAATCACAAAATGGTAAAGAAGTGAGTGTCAACTTTTTGGCCCATTATCAAATTAATCTGATTTCGTTGCTAGATGGGCAGATGTTACAACATTTTTGTTGACTACTCATTTTAATTACCATATGCATGCTGAACTATATTCTTAAGCCATCTTATCGTAAAAATGCTTTCACTGCAAATGAAACTTTTCTTTTTTAGGAGTACGAGTTCATTTGTTGGCTAATTAAAACTACTATTTATAATCAAACTGATATAAATCAGCTGAGATCCCTTAGCAATTGGAGCAATTTGGGGGACAGCGTGGAATGTTAGGGAAATCTGAGTGGGTTTTTGGGCTTCGGCGATAAGATTCCCGCAGTCATGTCTACTTAAGGGCCTTAGAAATGGATGGATTGTCACGTCTGGCTGTCAAGTACTGTGAACTCAACTGTTAATCGCCAGGTGATAGGTAGAAATCAGCCCCAATTGGCTGAGGAAGTTATAGCAGGTGGCACCTTTCGATAAGGATTTCACTATTTTCGAATTGATGCGATACCGCTGAAGAGCGCAGTTAAGTGATATATGCTTGTGAAATAATACTTAAATCGAACAAGGCAATAAATTATATTCGCCTGGCAAAAGTCGTTGCTTCCATTTCAGTTTTGACCTTACAGTTGTACATTTAAAGTGAAAATATTCAAGCATTATAGCTTTTTTATGGCTGGAAGATTTTGGACTTACCTAAACCAACCACAGCTTGGTACAAACAAGACATGTGCATTGCGTTTTAGAATTTTCCCTCGGATGCAGACTTTTCCAGCACGTGCGCAGCTTTTCCGGCACCGAAGCCTCCAGTGGAACGACGTCAAGCAGACAAAAGCGGTATATGTACGCGAATCGGGCGGTATATGTATATACATATGTGTATATAGAGATGGAGAGGCAGACGAGCAGACATGGCCAACGTCATGCCCGAACTGTAGACCATGTCTGCCCCCTCCCACGTAGAGCCCCCCCTTTACAGGCTGACGCACGTTGCGTGTAATTCCGATTTTAATCGCATAAAAATGTTTTGTTTATATGTATAATTTAGTTTTAACAATTTACGTTAACCTTTTGTTACCATTTTTAATTTGGCCGGCGCTCAGGCTGTTAAGCTTGTACGTCTATTGCTGTGGTTTCGGCTATTTGCGGTTCGCGTTAGTTCATAAGCAGCAACAATTAAATGCTCCATCAAATTGGTTTAAATACGCGCTCAGTCTCCATAGGTACATATATACGTTTGAGTGTATTTATGCATATATGAATGTGTCGGTTTCGTATAGACAGTTATTATTACTGAGCTCGGTTGTTGTTATAATTATTGTCAAGCGATAGCAATCAGCGACATTTTTACAGCATTTAAACAAAGCATAAATTCTGATTTAGTTCCAAAACTGTCGCCGGATTCTGGCAAAGGCAGCACTAGTTTGTGCGAGTGTACGCGACTGCATGTTGCATAAACGTACTGAAATAGAGCGGCATCATCTGGGCAGTCCGAACCAGAATCAGTATCAGTGGCAGACACACTTTCAGATACAATAAAAATTCTATTTAAATCGCCAGTTGTAATTATATAGCCCTCGTTACCGCGCTCTGCGAATTATTCCGCATATTGTGCAAATTATTGGGGCCATATACACATGTATTGTACTTTTGAGCACGAGTCGGCACAATTATATGGAAAACACTAACTCGGACTATAACTGATTTTTCTCATAAGCCATGTGGCTTAAAGTGTGTACTTGTTGCAGCAATCATATTACCATAACAAGCTGTTAACTTTGTATTATCTTAAGGAACAATTAAGCATTTAATTGTATAGTTTGCCATGTTTATATTGTATACTTACGCAATAACAGTTTAATTAAGTCCTGTATTTATTTTTAAAGCTGCTTTGGTATACCTACCACTTACAACCTGCATTATTTTATTTACTTGTAGCTTCTTTATCCGCAACAAAACCATGCGTCTGTTGCCAATTTCCGCAATTTGTGTACGTTCATCTCCCTTGGCAATAATCGCCAAACATTTTCGCCCTCCAAGTCTTGCAATGCTGTTGATTTTGTTATAGGCCGAGTATATAATTTAATAACTATAACAACAAAGCGACAACATAACAGCAACAATGTCGGAACTGAGTTCATATGTCATGTGCCAGTTTTTTGACTGCAATGCAGCCAGTGCCCGTTTGGATCCCATAGCCCCCACTCATTTGCCAACTTCCACACACATGACCACCCTCCCCATGGAAAACCCCCCTCACACCGCTCACTCCACCCCCTTGGCCAATCCCGACCGTGCGTTCTAATTTCATAATAAACTTGGCTGCCAGCAACGAAACACGACGGCAGCTGAAATTGGCTGGATGCAAAACCGCAACGGGTGTAAATTTCACCAGCCCCCTTCGGTTACTCCAACCCTGGATCCGCACCCGCCCCCGCCCCCTTCGAACCCTTTGGCCGCCAACTGTTAGCAACTGCAGTACACACCGCCAATGGCGGCACATCCTGTGCAGCTCGTAAGCACCTCATGCGCCAGGCTATAAATGTAAATTGCCTAAATGGGCAAAAGCTCGAGCATACGTTGGCCAGGACATGGACATGGATACGTAGCTGCTGGTGGAGCGGGAGGGAGATAGAGGGGGGGTCAAGGGGCAAGGATCCAGCTGGGGCACTTGCATCGTAAATGAAATCAGTTGGTGCGCGAATCCTGCATGGGTCAATTATGCAAATGTCCTGCACTCGACTTCGCTGGTACATATATCTTCTGCCCGCTGGCCGCCCGTGTGCATTTCGTATCCTGGCCAGGACATTCGGCTATGGCAGCTGCGGAACGAAAGTGATTTGTTGCCTGGCAGTGTAAATCTGTTTTCCCAT